GCACGGTAAGCTAGAGGACGTCGGTTCGAATCCGGCCGGATCGAAGGAAATCGATCTTTGTATTAATAATTATAACAAACTAGTGGAGTAATTTCACAAAAAATAATTTAATATCAATTCAATAAAAATTTATAATAGTATTTATTTATTGACAATTGGCTATATAGCCTATAAAGATAACAAATAATTATGAAACTGAAAAAATAATAAAACTTAAACGAAATTTCTTAAGAATGTAACAAAATCTAAAAAAAATTAGTCACGGAGTAACTTTTTTTGAATTGCTTATTTTTACAGATGAGACCGCCGTTTGCATGGCAAATGGCACATCATGATACGATTCTGCTATGAAAGAAAAGGTGAACGGATTTCGAATGGGGATCGTAAACTGCATGGACAGTAAATTGTTTTTGTGAGGTCATAGTACGAATTTCACAGGCAATCCAACTTACAGGTTTAAATAGGATTACTCTAAGAGCTCATAGTAGCCCCCCTGGACGAACTCTTTCACAAGGAGCTCTACTGCTACTCCACCAACATTTTCTTATAAGGATTATTGCGGGCAAAAATGTAAATGATATTTTGTTTACTAAAATGTTTTAACGCGTTTGTAAAAGCTGCATTTTTTGTTTTTTTTTTAATTCGTTGTAGTCAGTTAACAAAACTATACTTTAGCTACAATACTCAAATTATGCAAATAAAACTAAACATGCAACATAAATTAACACACCTCATTACATAACACTCTTGATTTGGCTTGACAGTGCACCTGGAAACAATATCGTTTATTATGTTAAAAAAACAACACAAACTGATATAAAAATTTGAGATAAACTAGACGAAAATGTGATAAAGCCATGTTTGGGAGCTCTTCTTCTGACGTATCTCTTTCGCTTGAGCGAGTGTCATCACGCTTAACCAGTTCATGGACAGTAAAGTAAGAATTTTTAAAATCGGTCCACAATTGACGGAGAAATCGGAAAACGTACATACATACAGTCGAACGTTAACCTCCTTCTTTGTATTGAAGTTGTTTAAAAACTAAAATTAAAGCTATCTCTTATCAAAATTCGCGATACATACATACTATATACGCGATACGTACTGTAGACTACAGCTACTACAGATGACGTGCGTTTACGGCGCCACAGACTTTGTGAACGTGTGCAAAGGTTTACTCGCTGCGACTGCACCGCGTTTGAATTGTGTTTACGCGCGTCATCGGTGTATAAAATACGCAGTGTACATAGGCTCTATAAAGTTATGGTAACTGCTAACTAAAACGTAAGTATCGCTAGCCCAATTTACAAAGGTAAATGGGGCTAGCGATACTTATGACCGTCGAAAGCGACGGTCTATGTTTTCTCACCTTCAATAATTACAGGTTCTCTTTCGACGGTGATGGCCTCCTTGTGGACCTATCAGCGTTTGGGCTCGGCGTTTGGAGACCTGTAATTTTTACAATTGTTAATAACTTCTCGCTTGAGATTTAGTTCTGTAAGCGGAACCAAAATATGCAATGACATTGTGACATAGCGGTAAACATTAAAAAACACGAAAGTGAAGACAGCTCAAGTAATAATAATAATTTAATTTAGTACCTTTCTTTTTGCTCGGTGTATTCACTCGCCCGTTCGCTGGAAATTCAACCGAAAAAACATATTAATAACAAAATCACACATTAAATTCATAAAGGCATATCTACAGTTTCAATGTCATCAATTTTATGACGTAGAAAGTTTTCGACATTGTTGAGCAGTTTCCTACCAAATTTAGGTGATTTCTGAGGACTTTTCTGACACCTTTCGTTTTGCAGAAAATCCGTCGACAATATTTTCGGCGACAATTTTGACTTCTGAGATAGTTTAGGAGATTCTTCTTTTAACAGCACATTCTCTTTGGCATTGTTATTGTGAGGTTCGGGGACAATATCATTTTCTTCTGTCTTATTTTCATCTAGAACATCGGGAGTTTTGTTTACTGTTTCCATTTCTGCCTCGCGAACTTCTGGTTTTTCCGGCGTCGAGCTGACAAAGTCGCTTTCGCTTTTCGTTAGTGACCCACTGTACACCTCGGGAGGAGTGTCGTTCATGATTGCAGAGTTTCCGGTGACGTCGAGGTTTTCGAGGGTATCGTCATCAGACGCTGAGCCGTATTCTGAGTGATCGCTTCGTAAACTCGTGGGGTTGGTCAGCTGGAACGGGAGAAATAAATTAAAGCGGGAATAGTATGATCAATGTGACCATTATTTTTCCCTCAGAAAGGGACGCCTTGTGAATTTATTATTGTTTTAAAAATAAAAGACATGTTTATGATAGTTATGAAATGTTCATTGTTAAAAAAAGAACTAAAATTCTTTGAATAAAAAATTTAAAAAAAGAACTATTCTTGTGTGGCTGGTGCTCGACGTTGGTGGCTGGCTTATATATTTTTCGCTTTCGCGCCATTTTAAATTTATTGTTACGTGTGTTCTGTTTTAAGAAAGCGGGACACTTTTAAGTATTTTGGGGACATCGGGACACGAAGCCTAAAAGCGGGACGTATTATCACGTTAGATATGATCCACCAAATAAATTAAATATTCTTTAGTGGGCATTAAAAAACTACAATGACAACATAACACTAATGTAATACAGAAAGTCTGGTCAAGAGCAACCTTAACTGTAAGCATTGATGCATGCTGATGAGGCGCAAAGTGTCTGGATCGCAAAAAGCTATAGTTTCTGCCTAACCCGATAGGTAAACAGCGTTTGCGATATAAAGGAAGTATCCTTAATACCACAAATGTATGTTTGACTGTGGAACACGAGATCTTAATTTTGGCTGTGATTGGGCTGGCTGTCATTCCTTTAAAATATGTATAGCGGTGACACACCAACAACTTTGATATAAGTGTACAAATAATTGGCCCAAAAACCGATCCCTGTGGGACACCTCAATAGAATCGAATTATCTCTTCTTGCTCATAACGAAATAATATAGTAGCTATATGTATTTATCGGAAAAATCGGAATAGACATGAGTACATTTATCTTAGACTTTAAGGATAATACGAATAATACGCATACAATGAAATCGCGGAATATTATTGATATGTTAACCACAACTTACATTACTACGGTAATGTATTTAAAAAAGTTTTGTAATTCAACAATTACAAAACTTTTTTAAATAGTAGTGTCAACACACTACTAACTTATTTGATGGTTTGTCTTTTATTTTTAATCATTCCGGAAGTTTAAAGGGAGATATTATGCACTCTGTGTATTATTTGAAGTTTAGGTAAAAATATTTTTTATCACACTTGCTCGTAAACAGTGTCATGATATATAGGCAAAATCGATCGTAATGTCCTAAATTACGCACACGGGCTTTTTCATTACATTATCGCCCTGTGGCTTTTTTACGTCAAGATTATGCAAAAAGTTTCCATCCTCGAGAAATCTGAACGTACATTTCACATAAACTTGAAATATAAAAAGAAACTAAACATTTGTAATTTAACTATATTTTTATTAAATTTATTTTGTGAATTCAAATTCTGCAGTCTCCATTGTGGCTTCATGCGTCTGTGCCCTTTATAACATTTTAATTCGAGTTGTATTATCAAAATTTTAAAAAATTTAAAAAAAGAAATCCATCATTTGCAAAATCCGTAAACGTTGTGCTGTGAAGCGATATTTATTCACACAAGAAATAAATGATCGTTGTATCCCTTTCCTTGCAAATATGACAAAAACATTATACGTAGCAAGGGCGGTAAAAATTACAAACTCGAGTCATTAAAGCTTTCAGCCTTAGGCTTCGGGCTTCTCATAAACTCTTGTTAGTAATTTCTTATTTACCGCGCATAATGTATTAATGACTGTACCCAACTCTGTTGATGATTCAAACTGTTAGTTTGCCACGAACAAGGCTTTTTCTCTACCAATGCCAGTTTTTCATATAACAATAATGTTTCGTAATTTTGGTTTCCATTTGTTGTTATACCACACTTGTATGTTCTTCTCTTCTATGCTGTGCTATTCTACGCTATTGATAAAGGAATTAATGAATACACTCACAGTATAGCTGGAATCGTCGTCAGAATCCGCATCGAGTTCGACCATCATTCTTTCGATGAGCCTCTCCATGGTGGCTTCGCTGGTCGATGGAACCGGGCTGGTGGTGTCGCGAGGTCGCTTGGTACGTTTCACCACCTGTAAGGTAAATAGAAATTGGGTGAAAACCCATCACAATTATCGCAATTTCCAAGGTTAAATGGAGCGTAAAAAGTAAGTGATACTATAAAAAAACTGACAAGTATACACCCTTTATTAAGTTTGATAAACCCCAGGTCCGCTCCAAGGCATTTTTTACCCGAGGCCATTGGAATTTAAAAAATCCTAATTTCAACAGGGAAGACTGTTTCTCTGTATCACCTGTTTGTGATCCAGAATTTCATCTGATGAAAAATCCCAAACAGACATAAAACCATAGTACTAAGTATTATTTTATTTCTAATTTCCTTTTAATTTTAAATTTAATTTAAAGTTTTTTTTTCTTTTTTCTTTTTTAATTTTTTATTTATTTTCGTTCGTTCCGTGGCTTATATGGAATAGCGTCTGGCACGGTTTGCTAGAAGACGTCGGTTCGAATCCGGCCGGATCGAAGGAATTTTCTCCTGAGTGTTCGATCTTTGTATTAATAATTGTAACAAACTAGTGGAGTAATTTCACAAAAATAATTGAATATCATTCAATAAAAAATTTTTTTTTTTTTAAACGTTTGCGTAAATTGGATTTTCGTTGATTGTATTTAAATTTATTACTTTTGTAAGTATAGTTCAGAATAGGATTAAAGGGCTGTAAAGGGCGGGAAACGTTGCTTCGTTTGAAAAACAAAGAAAACATAGTTCCATTTTCATTATAAAACTTACTAGTACTTCGTCGTTATTGCTGACCCTCGTGGTATTATTGTTCCCGTAGCTGTGAGATCGTCGGAAGCACATGGTGAACTCAAAAAGCGACTGTAGTCCACTGTACCAAGGTTGTTTATTCTGTGTGCTTCGCGCTCGAGCAATTCTGTTTCCTTGGTACTTGAGGGTGCGTAAGTACCGGCGTTTGCTTTGAATATACATTACCTATGGATAGAACATTGTGAACTTTATAATAATGAAGAAGCCATGACGGAAACAGATGTCAGAATTAAATCTTAGCGGAAACGAAAACTGAAGCGGATGCGGAAGTAGTGTAAATACCATAAAGATTTCAACGAAATAGTTTCAAATACGTCATTTAAGTTTCATCCGGAATAAATTCTGCAAAAAAGAAGTTCTTTGTCAGACGAAGGCATCGAGTATACAGCCAGAAATAGAGACGTCTGACGACTGTCCCTCGCAACTCATCAGACCAATGGGCCTTATATCATTTTTAAATATCAACTCTCGTTTGCACTGAAATCACAAATTAGAAAGCTGAAATAGTACAGCGCCAACAACTGACCTGTGTGTACGTCACCGTGTATTCCAGAAATATTCTGTGTTTATTGTAATAAAGATAATATCTGTAACTATGAGGGGCTGTTCCATTCGGTGGTGTGAAAAAAAACAACAAAACATTTAATTACAAAACAAACGGAATCGCATTTTATCGGTAATTAAATATTAAATATGTAACTTTTCAATTTTCGTCCATTATAGCAAAGCTCAAGTTAAACTGGTCGATTTGAGGTGAAACAATTTACGACACCCATCAATTGTTTCGAATTCGGGCTGGCCAATCGGAGCGCAGTTGTCACCGTAATGATATGGCAGAATAGTGTTCAAATAAATTAACTGACATTTCGTCCCAATTTTTGGTTATATACTCGATGGATGAAGGCTTCTTAATTAATTATTGAGATTTGGTGTATTAGATTTATTTCTTTACCCTGGTACATATGTATAGTACGTGCAATTCTTTATAAGATCCTTATATTTGGTGCCATTGTTTGGTGTCCATTTTAATTTATAAAGTAACACTTCAATGTACGGACAACGGGACATCAAACTACACATTTTTGTTAGAAAATCGCCTCTAGTGCAATTGAACAAAATACGTCAATGTGTAGCTTGATGCTGGCGTGTGTACAATACAAGCGACATACGTTCACATATCTTACCACGTCAGTAGACCTGAGCGGTGGTTTGCCCAGAGCCAAGTTAAGCAGGGATACGCACTCCCTCGTGGCTCTCAATGTAATCAGCATCATTAGAAAGAACACCCAGGGCAGAGGACGCACTAGTTCCGGTTGAGGTCTATCATCTTGGTCCACTGAAAATTGAAAGAAATTTAAAAATTCTGGGTCAATGTTGTAGTTACATATCATGCAAGTTAAAAGTAAATTATGCATCTGCAATTGCTCAGGCGTTCTAGCACAGGAAAGGTAGACAAAAAACAAAAGCAATCACGACCGTGACATCACAGTACATTTACTCAAATAATTTGTATGCCCGTAAAAATATACATAATTTCGTCAAGAAAGAAGATATTCATAATATTAACCTTAGAACCAAGTCCAAACTCATGGTACCACGATTTCGTTTAACTAAGGCAAACGATTCTTTTATGGGGAACTGTATGTATGTAAACACTTTATTGTACAACAAAAACAAATTACAATTTTTTTAACACAGAAATAGAACGTTATTGTACAAAGGCGAGCTTATCCCATAAAGGGATTTGTTCCAGCTATCCTTTGGATAGTTATATAATAAAATCTAATAAATCATGAAATTGAATGTCACATACTCAATAACTAAAGAATAAAATTACATCAAATTTAAACACGAATACATAATATTAAGTAAATGATGATACACGTATACATATAAAATATATAATAAAATAAGACTATAAATAAATACGTGAAATGTAAATAAATATTTTGTAAGCACTAACATTAGGAGTCCGAATAATCCCAAGATTTCAATAGTAAAACTGTTTAAGATTGCCATTTCCTAGGTTTAAAACTTACATTAAAAGTATTTTGTCTAAGTGATGTTGTCTAATATTTATTTGTCTAATATTATTTATTTGTCTAATTTAAATTGAAAAGTCATATACAAAATTGTAGACTACGTGTTAGATAAAGATGTATGGAAAGACAACATGAGTCTAGATTCCACACAAATATGATTCACAGTGTATTCTATTAGCATTAAATAATCCCTACAGTTCCTTGCTGGTTCTTCTTAGGGAAGTCAGCACAGTGAACGAGTAGTAGCTTAAAATGACGTTTTCAAGTGACGTTTTCACATATACACACGCACACGCTCACGCACGCGCACGCCACGCACACGCACACGCAAACACACACACACACACACACACACACACACACACACACACACATACACACACACGCGCGCGCGCGCGCGCGCGCGCGCGCTCACAATTGGTTTTAGTTATTATTTATTAGTCAATACCACTAACATGACACCCTAGAGGTTGGGTGACTGGAGTCCCATATTACAAGCTCTGCTTAGTTTAGGCTCCAGTCTCCCACAATGCATTATTCTAAGCGTATGTAATAATACAAATGTATATCTGCTGTAAATGTTACTTTGTTTTATATTGTGGAGATAAATAAAGATATATACAGTGGTGGACACATAATTAAAGACACTTAGAGAATATTATTTTTTCAAAGTTTACTTATCCTATATTTTTTTATTATAATGCAATAGGAGCTTGCAATATTATTTAAATTATTCTAACGGGTATCGTGAAATGTTTGAAATGAAATAAAGAGAACGAAGATGTCGTATTTTAAATGTTTATTAAGTTTCTTTAATTACACCGTTATAAACTAATACAAAAGCTTGGCCAACTAATTAAAGACACACAAATCATGTAACTGCAAAAAAAATATTACAAATGTTAAAACGAATTTGAGTATAAAATTAGTTTCAGATGTATAATAAGAAAATAAAAGCACGTTGTTAATATTTTGTCGCATGTCCTTTAGCAGCAATGACGGCCCGACACCGCCTCGGCATAGAAGCAATCAAATTATTGCAAGTTTCAATCGAAATCTGTTCCCATGCCTCTTTAAATGCCGTGTATAGTTGATGCACGTTACTTGTACGTTTTTTTGCAACCATTTTCTTCACACGGGACCACAAGTTTTCGATCGGGTTAATGTCAGGACTATACGGTGGCCAATCCAAAACTGTTACTGATTGGCTTCTAAGAAATTCTTTGACCACTGCTGAAGTGTGTTTGGGATCATTATCATGTTGAAAAGTCCATATCACCGGCAAATGATCCTCGGCATAAGGTAACATGGTGTTTTCTAAAATATTTTTATATTGAAATTTATCCATGTTACCTTCTATTTTTTTAATAGGTCCCACACCGTGACCAGAAAAACATCCCCAAACTTTGATACTACCCCCTCCATGTTTAACAGTTTTTTTTGTGTATTTTGGATCCATTTGTTTTTTTGAAGGACGCCTCACGTAAACTTTTCCATCAGAGTTAACCATATTTATTTTAGTTTCGTCAGAAAAAAGCATATTTTTCCACTGTCGCTCTGTCCAATGTGCATATTTTTTGGCAAACAGCAATCTGGTTTTGATGTTTTCTTTCTTCAAAAGGGGTACCTTCCGAGAAATTCTTCCAAACAAGTTTGCCTCACATAATCGCCTTCTCACCGTTCTTGCAGACACTCCTCTAGATTCCTCTGCACCAAATACTTCCAAGCGAATGACTTCTGATCCTTTGAAAGGGTCTTTTTTAGCCAACAATTATATTCTTGTGTCTTCTCGCAGGGTTGTTTTTCGCGGTCTAGGTTTCCAAGGCACATTTTCCGTAGTGTTAAATTTCTTCAAATGCCGGATAGCGTTCATTACCATATCTTTCATCATATCAATTTTCCTATATGACCACCCCTTTTTCATAAAAAATCAGAATTATCTTCCTTGGAAGGATCGCAACTTTTGCTTTTTCCCATAATATTTCAATTTAAATTTCACAATAAACTTAGAGCACGGCTAAAACTGAGTGAGATTTTGCGTATCACGAAAATTCGCTCAATATTAGAAAAAATCAGTGCTCTTTTTTATTTTTTATTTCAAGTTTAGAACACGAAATACGCACTGTCTTTAATTAGATGGCCAGCAGCTAATGTATCGAAAAAGTTTGAATGATATTTGAAACAGGAACTATGTAAACTCTTTTTAGTTAAACTTTGATACTGTTCTCATTTTAAAAAATATATGATGTCAGTGTATGTAAAATGACTATTAAAATGGAATTGATACCTATCTTGGGTCTCTAAATATCATTTAATTTGTTGTATGTGGTCAACATCAAGGGTGTCTTTAATTATGTGACCACCACTGTATGTATTATATTATTATTACATTATACATATATTATATATACTTTGACCTTAAAAATGCGTCCTAAATAAAGATATGCGTGTTTACTAATTTCCATAAACAAACAAACTATAATGATTTCAAAATTTTTAAACATACTTTTCTATTTTAGCAGTTGGTTATGACTGAACTCGAAATTCGAGTCGGTGGCAATATCACCGTGAAAGTTTCCTTTTATACCACTTCAGTAAAAATTAATACTTACAGGGTGGTGGTACCGCCCACTTAGCGCACTTCTCGACGACCCATAGAGCTCGGTCCAGATGCCGCAACGCGGTCTGCCCGAGCCTGTAGCCGGCCGCCTGTTCAGCGATGTTCTGCATCACATCCTTCGCGAACGACACCAATTCCATAACTGTAACAGGCGTAAGGAAAAGTTTTCTTAAATAGGCACTTCGCGGCTAATGTTTGTGTCATTGAGAAACGAGACAGATGACTCAGTAAAATGAATACTGGGCGTCATTTTAGAGTAAAGGATCAGAAAAAAGTAATAATCTGATAGTATATACACTTATAAGTCTGATTTAGACTTAGTCAATATAGGACATTACGAATATTTAATATATCGGTTTTAAAAAAAATTCAATCTTTAAAATTTTGAGATGACACGGATATCCGGTAACTATCCGGTATCCGGTTTAGTTTTACAATCCGGCCGGATATCCGGCCGTTTTAAAAATCCGCTGCCGGAATTTTTAAACTGAGAAAAATTCGTACACCAAATAAATCGATTTATTGATTAAAGATGATAGAAATAGGTTTTAACGCAACTAAATGATCGTTGACCATTTATTTATTACTTTTAACTGAAAGAACTATGAAGGTAGATAACGTTACCTGTAAATTTAGTATTCAAATTTCAATAAAGGCAAATTATGGTGTATGAAGCCCAGTTCTTCTGCATTAAGTGGTAAAAGTTGGTTCTATTTATTTTCATAAACGAGACCAGCTTCAGAGGACAATTTTCATATAAAATTTGTTAAATTTGAAGTAGTACCACTTGTTATTGCCAGACGACCAAATAAAATGGTCGCGAGAAAGGATCGCGATCAAGATCTATTTAAACTATCTTCAAATACAATGTGTACCTACCTACAACAATAAAACATGTAAGCAGAAGGCTTGGAATTAATTAGATCACAAACAAAGTAATGAAATCAAATTGAAACAAAATAATAACGGGGGTATCAAGTGCTAGGCTTATACTTATAACGACTAGACATTTTAATATAGTCAAAGAATTATGTAATTGCTTTTTTTCCTTCTCCATCGCGAGAAATTTGCATTCGGCACAACAAACAGCACTGTTATTAAAATATGGCCAAATTTGCGATTTTTCTCACCGTCAACATTTTTCTGTTATATAATGGTTTGTATTATCGAATAAATTAATCGTTAATTAAATTTTTATTGAATTGATATTCAATAATTTTTTGTGAAATGACTCCACTAGTTTGCTATAATTATTAATACAAAGATCGAACACTCAGAAAAAACACTCAGAAAAAATTCCTTCGATCCGGTCGGATACGAACCGACGTCTTCTTGCATACCGTGCCAGACTGAGTGTGTTTTCTGAGTGTTCGATCTTTGTATTAATAATTATAACAAATTAATCGTTTTTATAAACACCAAGTGAACATAATAAATGAAATCGTCAATGTGAAAGTGCAATCATTCGCTTAATCACTATCCGTTTCATCTCTATTAAAAATATTCTTGTTATTACAAAAATAAAAATTATCAGTTGATATTGTATACAATAATAAGTAATACCATTGCCATTTAGTTTAACATATAAAATGTTAATGGTATTGTAAACGAAGTGAAACTTTTTTGTTATATTAGGGTAATCATTACAATGTAAGTAGTGTATTTGCATCCGGATCAACAATTTAATCACAAAAGAAAAGGGGAAACATGAGAATTTTCGTTACTTAAATTTTACTTAACTAGACAAATAATTCTACGAAATTTTACATGCCTGTTGTATTTCGCATTATAGTTTAAGAAATATTATTTGCACCGATGAATGTTATCTCTTGGAACGACTTATCCTTTCTATTAAAATAGAAAGGATAAGTCATAAAGGATAAGGATAAGTAATAAAACCATTAACACCTCTCTTAGTTAAAAACGTGCATGGGCTTAATGATCTTGGTCAGTCAGATGAGTCATGGGTGCGTTAAATGCTTTTTCTGAATTCTAGTTTTCAATTATTATTTACTCATCCAAGAAGTCCGCGCGACCGCGACGTAAGGCCCATTTAGATGGAGAGAGTTTATCGTCTCGAAGATACGATTACCGAAAGAATATAAAAAACTTTCCTCGTCTAAACGTTCGCGATTATCGACCGTCACGTGAGCGATAATTGCCTCGCCTTTGAATATTGAACCGTGTAAACAGAATTCGAAAGCAAAAATCGTATTTCGAGTTTCTGTGCCAGCCGTTTCTACCACGAGTGCAGTGCGCGAGGGTGTTTTGATTATCACTGTTTTTCGAAAACTCGTAAGCGAGAATCTCCTTACTACATATTTCTCTGTGCAAAAAGTCGAGGAAGCGATTAAGTTGCTTGCGAATGTCGTATGACATAATCGTAGGCGAGGTTTTAGTTCTTGCCTGAATGTAAACATTATGATACGATAATCTTATGGCGACTATTGCTTACTATAATCGCGTACGATTTTTCGTCACGCGATAAACTCTTCCATCTAAATGGGCCTTAACGCCAGCGGCAGCGCGGCGAATACTCGATATTCTGCAATGCTGAGCAGTCGCTCAGTGCTAGCATTATGTCCACAAATTAGTTAGGGAGACTACGTTGCGTCGTTGTGTTGTGTTTACACTAGTTGTTTGCGCTGTACATATGACACGGGCGTCACCAAGACGGCTCACTCTTTTGTCCTATTGCATTGTACCCTAAAGATGAAGCAATAAGACAAATCCGTGCAAATAATAATACGCCAACCATAGATTCATACACAAAAACTCGTTGAACATGTTAAAAAATATTTTAAAACACGCACAACCTTCAGCGCTCGATCCGGCAAACAAAGCACATTTTCAGGACCCGACTCACGCCGCCTGACTCACCTCACCTCAACTAGGGGTACTCAAGGGAACTTGCTAATAGCTATTGCTGAGTGCATCTACAACCTTTGCGGAACTGTATGGTTTGTAAAACTGTGCACGAAGTATAACTGACCAGCTTGCATGAAGCGTAAGGCAGGGTTCGAGGGATGGGTTCGACAGAATCGCGTCGCGAATGCGATCGAATGCGCAGGCGAGCAAGCTAACACTTATTTCATTATACAATATTACAAAGTTGTTCTAAGAGTTTTTGAAGGATATAATGATAACTATTATTATTATAACATAAAAAAATACACGTGGATTGCGACACGTATCTTTAAAACACCTAATGAAAGTTGTTTTAAAACTGTTTACATATTACTCGAATTATCCGATTCGTGACGACTGCAAAATTCGAATACCAAATTTAACGGATATTCGAATAAAACTAACATTCGGATATCCGAATTGCAAGCCCTACCCGCGTGGTCTAACAATGTCAGGCAGATACCTGGATATGTATGATATGATGTGGGCCTGGGTTCTAACTCCTTTGGCGGGAGGTGCGATGGTGGAAACGAAACGGTGGCACCAGTTCGAAAAGTTCCTCTGAGCACTCCCGATTATAAAGACAGTAGAACACACACACAGAGTCCAAACCGTCTGTGAGTTTGGGATTATCGACAATCCGAACAGTCTTACGTTCGATGCAGTCACGTGGATAAAGCAGGTATTTGAGAGCTCCTGCACAGTTAAGGAATTTATGGTTTAGTTTTCCTACCCGACCACAATCACAGTTACAGAATTCTTCAACTTTATAAGGTTGAAAACAATAGGTTTGTTCTAAAATGAACAAACAACAGAACGTGTTTGCGTGTTTGTTCTGAACACATTCTTTCACATGAAGGAGGTATTTTTACGGAAGAGTATTTTGAGAGGTATTTTGTTGGTCTAGTCGAACATATTACCAAGAAATTAGATCAAGGACAAAAATGTGTAGGTACATTCCTCGGCTTACAAAAGGCGTTTGACACAGTATACATACCTGCTCTTTTGTATAAACTAGAAGATGTTGCCCACAGAGGCATCACTCATGATATTTTCAGTGACTATCACACTCATCGATCTCATGATAAATGAACTTACAAGCGCCGAAACTAGCATGGAATACGGCGTCTCGCAGGGATCCATAATTGGACCAACTCTGTTCCTACTCTATATCAATCAAAAATTGTGATATAAGTAGCAATCTAACGTTATTATTAATTCACAGTAATCTAAACTTATTATTAATTAACAACTTTATGTGTTTGTGTCTAGTAGTGAAAGGAACTAGAATAAACTCTATAAAGTACAAAAGTGTAGCTAATAACTAAATACAACACTTTGATGGAATAAAGCCATAAGCTTAAGAAGGAAAATTCACGGGGGGAAGAGCTTTGAGAAGTGTATGCATACCAACGCACACTGATCCCTTATTATACCGCGAGTGTACCGGCGCATCCCGCCGCGGTCTTCTCTAGCGCGCTCTTCAATCACAGACCTTTTTTTATCGAAGCGGTGATATTGTTTACCTTTTTTGTATATGTATTTAATGTTGATAGAACGAGATTGCCATGAGCTACAAGCTCAAGAAGTGAAGGTTAACCCGCAAATATGTTGCCCTGCAAAATCGCCATGTCTCTATTTTGAAGGGTAAGCTGCTGGTAAAATTACAGGCACATGGAACTTGTCAACTTATATTTCAAGGTAACAGGTGCAGTGCCCTTCAGATATTTGCGATTCAAAGCTTTGAGTGGCACTGCAACTGTTATGGGCAGGCGTGTCGCTTAGCACCAGGCGCACGACTTGTTTGTCCCGTCGCTTGGTATAATAAAAACAAACTAAAAAATCATGATATTCAATAAATGAATATTCCACTAGTGACAATATTACACCAGTCAAACGTGGGTTATTGTTATTAAGTTTTTATTGAATGTCAGAATGTTTAACCACCATACTATAAAAAAATATTAAATTATTTTTTTGTGAAGTTAGTCCACTAGTTCGTTATAATAATAATGATAATGACGTACACACTCATAGCCCCGCACTAGGGAAACCCTGTATCATGCGTACCACGGACACACACGTAGACAACCACAAATTACACCCAAACTCACGAGAAAAACACATGTAGGTCTTACAAATATTTCTCCCGGCCCGGGAATCGAATCCGAGACCTCTGCATGGCAGTCCAGAGTGGTAATCGTTCGGTCACGGTGGCAGTTGAATTATTAAACA